TTTTATTATTTCCGGGTAATTGAGTGTTCCATGTATATAAAGTGTATGCTTTTGTCTCAATAGTGAATGACTAATACTTCTATCAAGAACTACAAATAATTTAAAAACGAGGGTTATTTATTATCAAGATGATTATTTGAAGCTCAACATTGGCTAATACCCAACTGTATAATTTTACTTGTTTCCTAACATGGAACAATCCGAACAAGTTTATGTAATTATCAGTGGTATCTTTTGTAAAGCCGATGGAAAGCATAAAGTTACACCTGTTTCATTTCGACACCAGCTGCTGTACAGTGATTCTGTCCACGTGTGATGGGACCGACTATATGTCACCCGTGTACGTGATTGACATGTATTGAGGTACGACTTTGGCCACGTCTGATCTGATAAGATAAGATCAATTTATTTTAAAGTCGGTGGGCATTTTAAAAACAAATAATATAAGTTCTATAGAGCTTTTGACAGAAACAATTTCACACCTGACCGTTGATTGACAGGTGATGCTTGCAACAATTAACAATTACTTCTGTATTGTATATCATTCCCGTGATAATTTACTTCATAAATAATGAAATTAATTTTTCTATATTTTATCCGATGTGATAACGATAGATTATTGTATATCATTCCTTGAGTAATTTACTTCATAAATACTGAAAATTTATTTTTCTTTGTTTTATCCAATATAGCAAAGATAAATTATTGTATATCATTCCCGTGATAATTTACAACATAAATAATGTAATTCATTTTTCGATATTTTATCCGATATGATAACGATAGATTATTGTATATCATTCCCGTGATAATTTACTTCATAAATAATGAAAATACATTTACAAATACGCCCGATGAAGATCTACATATATTTAACTTTAATTGTATACTTATTTGGTATATCAGTTGTATTGGGTGTTTACTTTCTGGTTTGGGAAGCATTGGGAAGTATTGGGTAAATCAATGTTTGTATTGGGTAAATCGACGTTTGTATCGGGTAGTATTGGGTAAATCAATGTTTGTATTGGGCAAATCGATGTTTGTTTTGGGCAAATCGGCGCTTGTATTGAGCAGTATTGTGTTGTATTGGGTAAATCGATGTTTGTATTGGGTAAATCGGGTAAATCGGCACTTGCATTGGGTAAATAGATGTTTGTGTTGGGTAGTATGGGTTATATTGGGTAAATAGACGTTTGTATTGGGTTGCATTGGGTAAATCGATGTTTGTGTTGTGTAGTATGGGGTTGTATTGCGTAAATAGACGTTTGTATTGTGTAGTATTGGGTAAAGAGACGTTTGAGTTGGGTTGTATTGGGTAAATCGGCGCTTGTATTGGGTAAATCGATGTTTGTGTTGGGTAAATCGATGTTTGTATTGGGTAAATCGATGTTTGTATTGGGTAGAATTGGGCTGTAGTAGGTAAATCGGCGCTTGTATTGGGTATCGTTGGGTTGTATTGTGTAAATCGATGTTTGTGTTGGGTAAATAGATGTTTGTATTGGGTAAATCGGCGCTTGTATTAGGTAAATCGATGTTTGTGTTGGGTCGTATTGGGTAAATCGACGTTTGTATTGGGTTGCATTGGGTAAATCGATGTTTGTGTTGGGTAGTATGAGGTTGTATTTGGTAAATAGACGTTTGTATTGGGTTGCATTGGGTAAATCGATGTTTAAGTTGGGTAGTATGGGGTTGTATTGGGTAAATATACGTTTGTATTGGGTAAATAGACGTTTGTATTGAGTTGTATTGGGTAAATAGGCGCTTGTATTGGGTAGTAGTGGGTTGTAGTGGGTAAATAGACGTTTGTATTGGGTTGTATTGGGTAAATCGTCGCTTGTATTTGGTAGTATTGGGCTGTAGTGGGTAAATCGACGGACCCATATAACGGATTAGTACGTTCTACCAGAGACGTATATATTACAATATATTGTAATACATACGACTCTGGTTCTACTACGGATCAGTAAGGATATACTACTGTTGTCTGATCCGTGCTGAATTTTTGAACATGCTCCAAAGTTGTCACGGATACAGATAATATACAAAACAGCTACGATGCCGGATCGTATCCGCGGCTAACCGTCGTCGATCCGTGAATTTGTGACCGGGGCATTACCCAAGTAACCTCTGGTCCCCGGGAGGTCATCACAGGTGTGAATGTGACTATCCTGTCAGGAGAACTTACGCCAGCCAAAACTAAGGTATGCAGGTGTGGGTAGGGGTAAAAAACCTTAGGGGAACGGTACTGGTACTTGTATTCTTACACCTCTTGCTAGTTAACATTCTAGGGAAAGATTCACGACATATTGACACACCCTGTCAAACTCATACCTGAGGTCTCACAGGTAGCCATTACATGTAAACACACTAATTAGTCGCCTTCAGGATAAGTATTTATCACGTTGTGCGTTTTTCACCCATTGATTGCTTTATACACCATTTCAGTATTTAGATGGACTTCTATCATCGATCATTTAGTTAATTGTTGCGATCCGTAAGTAAAAAAATTGTCTCCGATACTTTTTGCAATAATTAAAACATATATGACGAAAGCCGATACCGCCTAGATGTATGTGCGACCGCAGCCCAAGTCTCGCGACGGATCTAGATCTTAATACAATAGGCCCATGCATCCATTCCCTGGCTTTATATGTCTCTGATACTGGGGAAATTTCGTCCTTCGCCCATGAAACAAATTTTCGTCCTCCATGTATATAATAAATATAATAAACTCGCCCTCATTGCGGAGGACAAAAAAGGCGAAAATAAAATTGCAGGGTAAATTTCCCGGTATACAGTAGGTTATCTGTCCATGTCACTTTGTAATGTATATTCTTTCTTCTGTTTGGTTTGTTTGTGTTTTACGTCCTATTAACAGTTATGGTCATTTAAGGACGTGTCATGTTTTGGTGGTGGAGGAAAGCCGGAGTTCTACGGCCAGTACCTGGCACTGCTCCACGTAGGTTTCGAACACACGACCCAGTGGTGGAGGGCTAGTGGTAGCAGAATGTCAGACGCCTTAACCACCACGTATAAGTTACAGCGATACACGCATGGTATGGTGGCATCTGTTAAGAATCTTGTGGAAGATGTAATTCCTCTAGCAATGGAATTAAAAGAAAAGCCTTTGTCCGAAAACAGACCACTATTTGTATCCTTAAATTCACAACAACAGAGTTAGATATTTTCCCGTTTTTAGCTTCGGGCCGGGTGAGCTTATGCCGTACTGCGGCGTCCGTCGTCCGTCTGTCGTCCGCCTGTCAACTTTTTATTTCGAACGACTTCTTCTGAAGAACTGGAGGACCTAGGGTCATGATATTTGGCCAGTAGATACATGGGATGGAGTGCTATAAAGTTTCCTCATTAAAATGACGTTGACCTACTTTTAAGGTCACATGGGTCAAATCTGTTAAACACTTCAAACAACAATATCCTAAGAACTATTCGTACTAGAGTCATGATACTTGAGTATGTTATGTTCTTCTCAAGTTCCATAAGGCCTAGGATCATGATATTTGGCCAGTGGGTACCTGGGACGAAGTGATATGAAGGTTGCTCATTAAAATGACCTTGACCTATTTTCAAGGTCACAGGGGTCAAATATGTTTAAAACTTTAACGATCTTCTTCTCAAGTTCCATAAGGCCCAGGGTCATAATATTTTGCCAGTAGGTACCTGGAATGTAGTGCTATAAACTTTTCTCATTAAAATGACCTTGACCTACTTTCAAGGTCACAGCGGTCAAATATGTCAAACTCTTCAAACGACTTCTTCTGAAGAACTAAAAGGTATAGAATTTTTATATTTGGCTGATAGCTTTCTGGGATGGAGCCCGACAAACTTTTAAAAACGAAAATGACTTAAACCTATTTTCAAGGTCACAGCGGTCAAATATGTCAAACGCTTCAAACGCCTTCTTCTAAAGAACTAAAAGGTATAGAATCTTCAAATTTGGCTGGTGAGAGCCCGACAAAGTTTGAGAATGAAAATAATCTTGACCTACTTTCAAGGTCACAGGTGTCAAATATGTCAAAAACGTCAAACGACTTCTGAAGAATAATCCAAAGGCATAAAATTATAATATTTGGCTGGTGGCTTCCTGGGATAGAGCTCACCAAATATTGCAAATGAAAATGAACTCAACTTACTTTAAATGTCACAGAGGTCAACAACATGTCAAACAATTTGTTCTGAAGAACCAAATAACAATGTCAAAATGACTTCAGTAATTCTTGCCTTCTTACAAGGAACCTCTCTAAATAGGCAAGCATGGTGCCAATGGATGCTGGTTGTGGTGTTTCATTAATAGCTGATTTACAGTGGCCAATCATTTCAGGACTTCCTTGATACTTTTATTTTTTCCAATTATGTTTTATGTTTTGTATGACTAAAATGTATTGGATTTGAATTGATAACAATTCTCTCAAAACTAAGCCCTGCTATCTCTTGGTATAAAATCAAGACTGATCCTACTTTTGTTATTAAAACATATCTTTCACTGATGAAGAAACAACAAAAGCAGAGTTTGCAAATGTATTCAAGTATTTATTATGATATAGAACATACACATTTAATGAAGGAATGTTTCGTTGTGTCAAGTTGAGAGAATGTACCTGTAGCATGTTTACAATTTTACAAATCTGACAAGAAAAATATATATAATATATATATATATATATATGTGTCACATGGTCCCGTGTATACACATTCAGACATTTCCCCCATTTGCCTCATGTTAGCAGTTTTGGAAGCCTCTACACTATCTCAATGCACTGTAAGAGTTTTTCAACCTGTCTATATAGTATCTGTTGAAATTAAAAAAGACGAAAGTTCATTCACCAAAAAGTGCAAAGGAAAAATATGTCAGTCATAGCAACTATGAATTGGCTTGTATGGGGCAAAGAGTTGAGAGTTTTCTCCAGAGACAGCCATACCCTTTAGTAAAACAATTTGGACACATCATCATAATATCAAATAATAAAATCTAATGCATTTGCTAGTCTTATCCAGCCTAATGCTACTCTATATCATAAGTATTAATAATGATCAATCAATGTTATATTTCTGTAACCAAAGTCCAAGGTCATAGTTTGTATATTCGTTTTCTTCAAATAAATGACCCATTTACATTCATTTTGGAAGAACTTGTCTTGGTTTCACATGCATATGAACTTTTAACTCATTTACCCCTGAAATTTCATAATAAACTATTCCAACCTTTGAATTGGAAAAGTTCAAATGCATCTTCAGGGGTGTATGAGTTAATGATGTATTCTGAAGTGTTACATATTTAATTTTGCGGTTGCGATATAATCTACTAATTCAGGAGTACCTTTAAATGAACCATTACAACAGATATGCATTAGCTTAGACAGTTTTGGCGTAAATGTTTTTATTGCAAAACATTTGAATTTGCGACTGACTTCATTTGTATAATGTACATACACACAAATATTCTCCTTGTTTCACAGCTTGCTTTACAGTCATTCTCTGTGCTTCAAACCGCTACACACATACTTACTTCCCCAGAACTCAGAAGAGAGGTACATGTACAAAAGAATCTGTACCCAGGTAAAACAGTAAAACAGTTGTGCATAGTTTGATTTAGTTACGGAAGCAGGTTAAAGTAAATATTTTACCCTGAAGCCACTGAGTTGTTTTTCATAATCAATCTGTGATGTCCATTACTCAAAACGAAAAACAGAATTATTTTTTGTCCGAATAAGAACATCAAAAGCTCTGACGAAGTCTGCAAATATCACATTATATGTATGCATATAAGCAAATTTAAAGGCTTAACTAAATCTATGCAGATTTGAAGGTTAATCAATGGAAATTATAAGTTTGAAGAGTCATTGAATTTATGCAAGCCTTAAAGCTACTCTTTGAATTAAAGATACATAAGAAATTAATTAGCAATTAAAAAATCGGCATAGTACTGATACAATCACAGTATCTGGGTAGGCACTACTTCAGCATGCAGAATCACAGACAGTTCAAAAGGCACATCAAATACGCTTCAAGCTAAGAACATTTTATGTTACTCCATATTACTTGTATTTAATTCGTACAAGACAGGAATAATGTAAGTTTTGTTACCAGGATAAAGATGGGATGCTACAATAAAATGACGAAATAGAACGGAACAGAATTAAACATGCTAGTTTACGGCTGGATCATACAACCTGAACTTCCAACAGTATCACAGTAGTATATATAAAGCTCTTTATAATTGTCTTCCACAGCCTATGTACATTTAATCCTAATGATCAACATTCATTCCTAAACATCCAGCACTCATCTTTCATTCTGTGTGTAACACAACCAGATCAGTCAACATTACTGTGAAAGTAGAAATCTCGTGTGATTTACAATACAATGTACCACTCACAACGTGTAATCAATACATTGAAAAGTATATTTACCCCCTCCCCCCTTGCACTGCCCAGCCCATCCCTTTCCCTACATACCCATACTAAAGATATTTTGAGGCAGAGGAAAAAGGATATGTAGAAAACTCTCCTCATTTGATGTAGAATTATGAGACACGTTACAATATTGCTTAAGTTTCTTAACCAAAAGCCTGTTTATCTTTCATCTGGAAACTTGAACAGGTATTAGTAGAAAATCAGGACAAAGTTAACTTGTTTGAACAAACTTGATGGCCCTTCATCCAAGGCAGGACCAAATACTATATCTTTTTATCTTTAATGAAGTACCTCAACACATGAAAATTTCCACTTTCACAGTTTTGACAGAAAATATGTTTTTGGCCTTGCAAACTGACACAATATACAAGCAATGTTTGAAATGAATATTTCAAACTATCAAATCGATGAAAATAAATCTTTCTGTTACGATATAAAAATAGAATATAGTTCTAATCACTCCTTCAGTGTATTTAAACAAGCATAGCGATAGCTTGTCGTTATAAAGGCAGCTTTGGTCTGAGCCTAGTTTTGACCGTCACTGACCCCTGACTGATGACCATTGCAGGAACCTTGATCACAGATCATCGCTGATCATTGACCGCAGGCCATCCTTGACCGGGGTATCTACTGGACGTTGTGTGGGCTAAGGATATGTAACATACACGTATAAAAGAATTCTGTTGTCCATAGCTACATAGCTACATAACTGACTCGCCTCCTCCTTGGTGATCTATAGAAATGTCACCCATGTTTGCATAATCTGGCATGTTATCGTAATTTGGATTACTCATACCCTTGACGGGTGTCGCACTAGTCTCCTTGCTGCCATTTTGTATTGATGGCTTCGCTTTTGTAAACCGGGCTTTTAGCTTTGAAAATGTCACATGACCTTCACCCGATGCTGATGCTGATGAACTTGCCGCAGCCTGAGATCCAGGCTCCATTGTTTCATTGTCTACAAGAACTTTCTTGATTTCTCCGCGAGGCTGGACTTGTCTGTAAAAGAAGAAGCCCAGGCCCGCCACAAACAGAAGTAGTAAAACTATTATAGGTATTGTCACTGCTAAAGCTAGGTTCTCGTCGGAGGATAGCACAGAAACTAGCGGCTTAGTACTGGTCAAAGAACCTGTAACACAAAAATAACATGTTTATTAGATAACAAGATATTTACTCATTGTTGACTATACAACAAAATACATTTTATTTAACAAATGTTGCTTTCAAGAATCTAGAATAAAAGATTAACATCTATTTAAGGGTCCCCCTACCACTGCTTAAAACTGTAAATTTGCATTGGAAACTTTTTTTTTTTTGGTATGACTATAGCTTTGTTAAACCATTTCTGAAAAAATATTTTCTTAAAAACACATCTTAAGAAACTTTTATGAATAAGATAAACAAAACGGAATCAACACCAGTGTTATAAGTGCAAATGTAACAGAGCCAGACCAGGATTACAAAAACACTGGGCCTCAGATCCTTATATTGTTGCTTTAACTCATTCACCCCTGAAGACACATTCCAACTCTTCCAATTCAAAGGTTGGAATATTTCATTATGAAATTTTAGGATTGAATGATTTAATTACTAACTGAGCTACCTGGTCAACAGGAGTACCCTGGGCCAGTCATATTAGTGTTATATCCGAAACCAAAGCAAAGGGAAGTTACTATATACATGAAATGTAGGAATTCTCTAGTGCTTTACTTGGGCAGTTTTTCGTTTATTGCAGTCCAAACGGTTGAACTGGTTGGACCACTGTTGTTCGTTTATGAACTGGTTGGACCCAGTAATCGGATGCTGCTTTCAGGCGAGTCTTCATAAAGCCTTGCAGGTCCGCCAGGATTTATACCCGAAAATATTACATTTAAAAACGGACGTACCGGCTGTTCCGCATAAATGAACAGGCCCCTGCAGNTACTAGTTCTTATAATCTAACCAAGTTAATAACGTATGATCTTACATTTAATAAATAATACTTAAACAGTTTACTTTTTTATGTACCTGGTAACTTGATATTAATGTTTAAAATAAATTTTGCAACCTAAATCTTACCGTTACAGATGACACTGGCGTCCTCAGCATGGTTGCAGTTCTCAACATTAAATCCATTATGTTTGCAGTCTGTAATTTTAGATTCATTTCCAAAGCAGCCGAGGTTGTCCATCCAAATGGGTCCATCTCCACGACCAAAGTTGGCCATTTTCTTGGCATATCCTTGACCGAATCCAAGTTGACGACATATGACGGTAGCATCCTTGTCATCGAAGTAATCGTCACACACTGTGCCCCACTGTTCCGGTCCGGTCAGGTACACTTCTACACGTCCATAGTTGTCTCCCCCATCAGCCAATCGGATTCCTGTCACATCTGTCAGCAAATCATCCAATCTAATTAGTTATTTCATATATAATGATTGTCATATATCTCTGCCATAAGCATTAAATTTTATAAACTAAGTAGCTAAAGTAAGCTATGGTGTTAAGAAATCACACAATTTTTGAAAATATGTGATTCTTGAAAAATTGCATGTCAATAATTCCTTGAAATTGTATCGTTTCAAATTGAAAAAATATTACTCCCAAACTAAAATGTGCAAAGGTTGAGACAGAGCTACTAAATACTGGGACATTTTCGCAACAGTTTAATTTTTGTCTTTTTCAGAATTTATCATTACAGCAAATAAATGAATGAGAAAGGTCAGAATTAATTATATAACACTGTGCGAAAATTGATTTCATGGGCGAAGGGCGAAAGTTTGACAGGGCGAAAAATTCTGGGAATGCAGTATTTAAAAAAACCCCACTTGAGTCAGTAACAATTGACTACAGTGAAATTTGTCTAATCTGACATCTGAGTATTCAAACGTTCTGTCTCATCCAATATAATTGCTGTATGCAATTTCTAATGAAACTAATACCTAGATAAAACCTCTATATTCCAACTTCCTGTCTTATCTAACCAATACAATGTGACCCAAATGGTGTCAGATTAGACAGGTTTCACCCACCATTAATTTTAACTGTTGGCAAATATCAGACACTCACCAACGTCCTTGTTGTAGCACTGGGCTGCAGCGTCATGTGACCTACGTCGACAGAGACGTTCATAGGTGCTCTCAGACTTTCCTGAAACGTTGAATCCTGAGTGGCTGCATGTGAAAAGATTGTCCTCTTTGCCGGAACAGGACACACGTGTGAACCAGACGGGTCCGTCACTGCGGCCGTAACGCCCACCGGCCACTTCTATGCCACTGCGATAAGACATACTACGACACAGGACATTGGCATCGTGAGTGTCCCACAGGAAGTTGCACACACCGCCCCATTCGCCGTTGTACTGTATCTCAACTCGGCCTTGACTAGCGTCCTTTCCACCCTGCAGACGGTACTGGATGCCTGCCCAACAGTTAACACCATGTTATAATTTTGTATTACTTTACATGTAAAATATAATGTATATCTCTTTATTTCTAACATAAAGGTTGAAAATTGCTATCCTCATCACTTTCACCTCTTCAGGCTCTTCAGGACGAATAACCACCCTTTCCAAACGTAACAAACCCTTTACCTTAAATAAGTCTATCATGAATAAAGCATCAAAGACAGTATGCAAATGAAGCTGTAACTGACCTGTCTCCGTCTTGTAACAGAGCACCCCAGCTTTGTTACTGTCGTAGGCACAGCTCTGCTTCTGTCCCATCCTCACAAAGTCACACTTATCCAGGTTGGCCTCGTTACCATTGCACCTCAGTTTACTCATCAGTATTGGGTACTGTGTTTTCCCGGCCTTGGCTAGGTAAGGTTTACCTCCTTTGTAGCCTAACTTTCGACAAACCATGTTGGCTTCGCCCTCGTCAAAGTCTTTCAGACAAACACTGCCCCAGATTCCGTCTAGCTTAACCAGAATCTCTCCATGCTGTTTACTGTGTTGGTGGTCAGAGGATATCTTCACTTCAAAATCTGAATTAAGTAAATGAAAATTTAACAATATTTGATGAAATTTCAACTGGTCTAAACACATCAACCTGTAAAATTTAACATTTTCAAATTATTCCAGGAAATATTTTTTTTGACAAATGGCTGGATTTTTTTTTCTTGCAAAATTGAAGTTTGCTTCTTTCCTTTATATATACACTATTTATGTGCTGAGATTTCATTTTGATTATTGAGACAAAGTAAGGTTAGGATTGCTTTCCCCAAAAATCACTTTAAGTGAATCATAGAATAATTGTGTTGATATTACATAATAAAGATACCTGTGTATTTAAATGATATATCGAGGTTAGTGATTAAGTAAACGGAAATAATTATCTGTGTTTCTATCCAATTGTATCACATAAATTACCTGGAGAACTAATTAATGCCTGTGTTAATGATTAAATCCATAGGTGTCAACCTCTGAAATCTCCAATGAGGGAGATCTCCCTCATTCCACATTTCCAATGAGGGAGAAAGTGTGTGAAACGCTACTGAAACTGCTTTGCTCAATTTTTCTTTCCTTTATGTATCAAAATAACGCCAAAAAGGTAACTAGGAGATAATTTGACCACATGATGTAGATTTTGAACTTGTGTGAGTTTGGACTTAAACGAGAGAGTTTAGAAGGAGATTGGTAAATTTTGAGGGAGGGTTGACAGCTATGTAAATCAGATGACTTATGACTTATTACCTGTGTTTACTATAGACTGGTTACTACAGTATACAGATGCGTACGTTTTCTTCTGACAGCGTTTGGTTGGTATGAAACTACAGTCAAAGAAACTGCCTTCCCGACCCCGACAGTTCACGTTTGAAATACCGATCGGATCGGTTACATTTCCAAATGACGATCCTGGTACAGAAACTCCGTCCCGGAATCCTAGGGTTCTACACACAACCTGAGCATCATCTTTGTCAAATGTATCATCACAAACAAGGAGCCATTTCTTGTTCTTGTATATCTGAACTGCACCCATAGTAGCGTTCAGTCCTAGATTCAGTCGAACTGACAGAAACAAACAGATACATTGGTATTAAAATAGTGGAATGTTTCGCTACAAATATACCAAAAAAAAAAAAATGAAATTTAACTTCATTGTGATGTAATGACGCTTCATTGTGAGTTTAATTTTTAAGACAAAGCACTGAGATCAGATGATTTAACTTTGATTTTTTTTTCTGCATCAAAATTTGTATAAAATGAAGGGTTTCTCCAGAGCTTTCAGTTGACCCGTTACATTTAGTAATAGAAATTTCTCTGAATTTCGGAGGGTCATAACATTTGTCGAGTAGACCTTTCCTGTAACCACAGGAGTCCAAGCTCATTTTGGAGAGCCAAAAATATACTTACAAGGGTCTCTACTGAATGACACATGTCTTTATGTCACCCCAGTAAACTACTAGCTGCTTTCTATTGATTTCTTAAGCTCGTTTGAACCTTAGTGGAGACCTTGAAAATAAGGACCACTGTTACAAGAAGAAACAAGAAAATTGATTTGGTAAGATTGATGATTCAAGCTGACTACTATTACTTACGTTTATCTACACAGAACACGGAGGCATCATCTTTGTGTGAGCTGCAGGTTTTCCAGTCTGAGGTGGTGGTAACTACGTCTTCACTGAAGCCCTGATGGGGACAGGTATGTAAATTGTCCTCGCTGCCGTCACACCGCAGGTGGCTGATCCAGATAGGTCCCTCTCCCATCCCATAATGGGCGTTACCAACTGCATAACCGTCCGAGAAGTTCATCGCACGACAGAATACTGCAGCCTCGCGGCCATCCCATGAGGCATCGCACACTGTCCCCCATAAGCCATTAAAGGCCATCTCCACACGGCCCTGTCCTGGTTTTGGTCCAACAATTCTGTATTTTATGCCTTTAAAGAAGTTCAGGACATTATTAAATATAAAGCATTATATTCATGCAAAATCAAGTGATGTCTTCAACATACAAACATTTTTTAACAACATTAAAATTTATGAACATGTCAACTTTGTAGCTTTATATATATTATTTTATCTTTGGATAGTTTAATCTGCTGTCTGGATTCTTATACCATTCACAAACAAAATTTTGTAGTCATCTTTCATTTGATAGACTTTGATAGTCTGGTTTCTCATATATGAACAAAACAAATTAACGGGAAAAAGGTAAAAACAAATTCTGAAAATTGAAAGTTCCACTTATCAAAACCATGATTGCGAGATCAATTTATGTGCATCTGGATTTAAAACAGAATTGTAAATCCCAATTTGGTGGAAACATGTTTAAATCAAAATCTGCAGCACTTACCAGTGTCGTCGTAACAGACCACAGCGGCCATGTGTTCTTTTGTCCCATTGGCCATGGAAAGACGACTTTCATACGGGCAATCTAACAGGGATTTTTCATTGCCAGTACAGTTGAAACTACTTAGGAAGAAAGGCGACACCTTCTCAAATCGACTTTTTGTGTACGGGTGAGCAAATCCATATTTGAAGCCAGCAGAACGGCAGAAAACTCGGGCCTCTTTATCGTCCCACAGAGAGGCCATGATGCGACCTTCTCTCCCGTACTGTTGAACTGCGATTTGTCCTCGGTGAACAGCTCCTTTCTCTGTTTTGGCGAGGGAGATTTTCATATCTGAGAGGAAAATATACAATAACTTAATGACAACTTATCAATACAAATATTTGTCAAGTGAAACAGCTTTCTGATGTGGTGAAACAGTATTAAACAGTTATGGTTTTAATGTGAAGCTTCTGTCTTTCCTGTGTGTTTTTCTTGTTGTTTTTTTAAGGAGGGGGGGGGGGGGGGGGGGAGCATTACTTTGTGTTATTGTTGTTGGTTTTTTTAGGGGGGAGGTAGGTTACTGTGTGTTTCTGTTGGGAGGGGGGTATCATGGATAAAGCAATTTTGATGATACAATGATGAAAGATAGAATGTCATTTGAGGGATTAGATTTGAAGCCTTATTCAACATAAGGTATAAAAGTGAATTGTTAAGACAACACATTGGCAAGAGAAATTGTTATCAATTTTTTGCTTGGTCCCTTGGGATTCATTATCAACCTACTTTACAGTAATGTATGCTTTGAGGAAGAAAATTGGATAGATATTATATATACGCATTAGGTGTCAGCTTGTAAACCTCCAATGAGAGAGAACTTCCACTGAAATGAGTGGAAAAAGTGCATCAAGCATATCTGTAATATTTTTGCCCAATTTATTTCACTCTTTTTATTACCAATCAGAATAACTCCAAAAGACTTTAATACTACGATACCTATAAACATATATTAGGTCTATCATACATTCCCTACAGCAAAAAGGGAGATAATTTCACTCAAGGAAGTGGATTTGGATTTTGTGTCAGCTTTGATTTAAACGAGTTTTAGAGGGTGTTTCATGAATTCTGGTCAAATTGACAGACAGACGGGCCCTCCTGTAATAATTTATGGTTTACAGCTATGGAAAAAATTGCATATTCAACTTTGAAACGTCCCAATTAAAATTTGAAATTTTGACACTATAAATATGAGTGACTCATCAAAATGCTTATAAGGTAGTATAAATATTGTAAAATAGCCTTTTGTGTGGTGCCGCCTAATCTTAATCTACCTTTATTTCGTTTAATTCATCTGTCTGCATTGACGCTGATCATGTCACAGGAAACAAGCTTTACTTGGTACATCCCAAAGCTGTGTCTTCGAAAAATTATTACAGTTCCTAATATAGAAATGAGATTGTGAATCAATAATTCTACTGTAGCATACCTCCGTTCTTGATAGTCTTGTTGTTATAATCTGTCTGATTGAGACATATGACGGAGGCATACGTGTCATATTTGCCACATGAGGACGGTACGAGACAGTCTTCTATCGAGGCCTCGTCTCCCTTACAGGACAGCGAGTAATTGTTCAGGACCTCTTGGAATCCAGAGCTGTAGGCTGAACAGCAGACAGCACGTCCATCTACAAATCCAAGCTCCAGGCAGACCTTGCGTGCTGAGATATCAGTGAAACCCTTGTCACAAATGAAGTTCCATGTATTGTTGAAGAAATAAAGAACAGGACCATCCTTGACATCAGTGCCAACACCTGAGTCTAGCTTTACTGCAAATATACAAAGAGTGATTCAAAGGTAAAAATTGGGTTCTTTTTAGCTTATTCGGTAGAGCGTAAGACTAGTAAACCAGAGGTACCGAGTTCGACTCCTAGCGAAGGTATTGAAAAAATAATACCTCTGTTACTACTGTATTATTTACCTGTATTGTAACAATGTACTACTGCGTCCTTGTCATGTGACCAACAACTGCCCGAGTCCGCCACTTTCCAGCCCTCGTGAGCGCACTCTAGAGGCGACTTCTCATTTCCGTTACAGTGCATGTCTGGTTCATACACTTTGCCCGTCGTTATACGGTACTTGTCAGTATTGTATGGAAATCCAGCAGCGAATCCAAAATAGCGACAGAACGCAGAGGCATCAGCTTTGTCCCAGTATCGATCACACATTGTTCCCCACTCTCCGTCAACAGAGATCTCCACACGGCCTGCAGCCCTTGAACCATTGATACGGAAATTTACACCTGAAAAATTATCAAATTACAATTATAGAAACTTGCGCAGTTGTTTTATCAAAGATGTCAAAACCTGGAAACAAGTAAAAGATTAAATTTGAAAATGGGTTTAATATTCACCTATAAATTATTCCTTTATATCATGAACCCCTTTATCACACCAATTTACTGTCTTGACATTCAGTGAAACCTCGTTATACCGCCATCATCTGTCCAGAAAACATTTGGCGTTATAATGTGTTGGTGGTAAGCGAGGTGGCATGTATGAAAAGAGTGGCATTATATCAAGGTTTTCCTATACTTTGTATATTCAAATTTTCAAATATAAGCATGGTCAGTTTCAGGAAAACATTAATTTCATAAACATTTTTCTCATCCAAGGTCATTAGATGAATGACAACAATTTTGTCATGTTTGAAATCAATTATCTTAGATAAACAAACAAAAACAGTTAGATTAGGAACAGTACAAAGTATTTAAGAATAAGTAAACCTCTGGAACAAGGCTGTTACCTCGATTGGAGTAGCAGAGAATTCCAGCTTCTTTCCTAGAGTTACATTGCTTAACTTGGCCCAGGGTGAAGTTGGCACAGTCTTTGAGCAAGTACTCGGACCCATTACAGCTGACGGATGAGGCCCAGATGGGGTTGCCCTTACCAAACAGAACCTTGTGTTGGTAGGCTATTCCTGTGTGAACACAATATGGAACTCAAGATTAAAAGTAGTTTTTCTGCCATAACTATATGCAGCTTTGATAAATCATACCTCGCAGGGCTTTTCCGAGAAATAATAAAGACAAAATAAACAATTTAATCAACAACAGTGCTCTGAGTTCAGTGGGGCTAAACTGGAATGCAAACCCTAAAACCCAGACTGCCATACCATTGTTCTAACTGATTGAGCTACCTGCATGGTCAACCAAAGTATAATGGCCCAATTGTGCTACAGTTATATCCAACCAGAAGTTAGGGGTATGTAACTGTATATAAGGGAAAACCCCCACAGTGTAGTGGAACAGAGATACCTAAGTAACTGCCTGATCTTTTAATAAAAAGATCTTATTTTTTTTCCATTTAATATGAGATTTACGAAGTTGTCGTTTTTTTCATGATTTTAGTTTGCTCTTTTGCATATCTACGGTTCAACCTGCAAAGAAAAACGACAGGCATAGATCTGAACCGAGGCTGACCTCAGGAATATTCGGCAAGTGAAGATTAAGGGGTCCAGAGATGCTTGACCGAAACTAAAATGCTGACTATTGCTAGTTTGTGTTACTTCTTTATAAAACAAGGTCAATCCACATGTAGATTTCAAAATATGTTGTATAATTTAGTGGACGCGTGAAAGAAGGACATGATTCTTGATATATTGTTATTTATTCTCTGAAACTGTTCATTTTTAGCTCTGCGTACAGTTTGGTCCAAGGGCATTTGTTTATCGTGGAATATTTTGTGCCACTTGAACTGTTTCAAACGCGATGAGCGAATGTGACCCTGGTGTTGTTAGGCTTCCTGATCTAACATTTTTTTAGACTTATTTCATAAATCTCATATGGTATGAAAACCCCTGTGAGCTCCTGTTTGTATACCAGGGTGACATTTTACTGACTTACCTTTGCTGTATCCCATTTCTCTACACACCACGGTGGCATCATTATTGTCCCAGTCGTCCGCACATATACGGCCGCTGATGTTGAGGAACTTTAACTCCACAGAGCCGGAAGTACTAGAACCTGGCTTACTGGCACCTCTAATTCCCAGACTGTAATCTTTAGAAAATACAAACATAAAATATTAAAGTTCACACACAGTAAGGTGGCAGGACCCAAATCGAATCAGTACCCAAATCGCATCACTCCTTGCAAAAATACTTTTAGAATCAATAAATATTTGAAGCACAAAATATTGCAAAATTCAAGGCGTGAATCCATTTTGGGTACTTTCACCTTATAATCATATAAATAACTCTTTTAAGAAGCTGAATGTAAGAAAATATTACCAAACAGCTTCTTACTGATTTCTTGCATGCACATTTAATTTTCTATGCAAACTTCATACAATTTTACTTAATTTTGTTATTAAATCGGAAAAAATGGAAACCTTGTAAATAATAAACCTGACATGATCCATTCATTTTCTAAAGTGCTTGTTATTAGGTTTATAAAGGAACATTAAAAAATTAAATGGAGTGCCATTATTCAAGATATCTTTTAATATTATATACATGTCTAAGGGATTCAATCACAAATGTTATTCAATTTTTCCATTTTTTTCCTTTAAAAAAAAAGAATATCTCATTCTTCAACTTACTAGATAATAAGGAGCCATTATAACAAGCAACAGCAGCATAGTCGACTGAGCATGATCCAAACGGATTATGAGATATACAATCCTGGAGTTTTGTTTCGTTTCCAATACATTGCATTTTCTCCGCCAGACTCTGTGAGTAGAGGTAACCATATGCTCCACAACAGATTGACAGTCCATTCTCAAATCCTAGCTGTTGGCAGATGACACCTTCAAAATGACATACCAGTTACATGAAATTACATGCAGCTTATGTCAAGATTACATACAGATTATTTAACATACTGTAAAATTTCATGGTTTTCATTTACTAGCCTGTTTCAATGACATTATATTTCGATGATTACTGATTTTCCCCTATCTGTATATCATACAAAATTTATGTTTTCGTGGGGATTTCATTTCGTGGATTTTTGTTATCCACGAAATAAACGAAATTCAATGTCCCACAAAAATTTATGATTTCACAGTACGGTTTACTAAAACTCCTAGAAATCATTTCTTAATAAAGCTTTAAACGTTTATAATTTAGTGGTACAAGGTAATCTTATTCTTGCAATATTCATGCTTTAAATTTGAGCCAATTGAAATATCACCATCCTTTTTTCTAATATATATCTGGTGGTGCACCAATTAATTAATGCACTAATCTGTAAAAATTTAATAATGCACTTAAATTTTGTTGCGCTTAAAAGAGTACATTAATTTTAGAGTTTTATAAGAACTAATACATTAATTTTAGAGTTTTATAAGAACTAATACATTAATTTTAGAGTTTTACATTAACTTGGTTTTGTCTTGTTTGACAGATCAATTAATCATTATTCAAAAGAAACTGACGAGACTTAGGGGGTAAGTTAAAAATACGGATAAATATAATTGGGTTCTTACGGAGGTTGGCTGGCCTGTCCCAATCGTGATTACAAACCACGCCCCACTTGTCTATGTTATCGTCGTAAACTTGTACGATGCCATGGCTGATCATGTCTCCTTTCTCCAACCGAACTGAAAACATATAACAAAGATTTAAAGGCCCCTTTTGCATATCTGGTTTACCCGGTTTGCCTGTTTTTAAATTTAAAATTACTGGAATAAATACTGGCAGACCTGCAAATGTTAATGCAGGCCTTGCAAGGCTCGCCTGAAAGCATAATCAGATTACTAGGTCTGACTTTATTTCATAAACGAACAACTCTGGTCCAACCAGTTCAACCATTTGGATCGCCATAAACGATTGCGGCCTCAACATTTTAAAATCCTTTTTGAAACATCAAAAAAGGAAAAAATGTTCACTAAATCATTTTTTTCATAAGTAATAATTTGATAGAAATATACCATTTATCTCGTTCAATCACTTATTTTCAAAGTGTATTATGGTTAGTTTTTATCAAACTTATAGTAAGCATGGAACTGATTACTAATTATAATAAGTACATGGATTCAGAAAAATATACATATAAATTCAGTATATGTAGCTGCTTAAATCTGAAATGTCACTTTTAATCCTGGGCCCGTATTCATGCACCTGTTCTCATGCTCAAGCATGGTTTTTGTGCTCAAGCCAAATTTCTTACTCCACTTATTAGTTATTTAAATAAAGAAAAAAATTGAAGATATTTAAAGCCGAAAACTGTTTTCAATGTATATGATTGACTTTTTGATCGTTTGACATGATTTAAGTGAGGTACAATGAAGCTGGTTTGAGCACAGAATCCATGTTTGAGCATGAGAATGGTTTCATGAATACGGGCCAAGGTGTTATAAGTCCTTACGATTCCTTACATTCACTTAATATGTGTTTTTCAATTAAAAATCTCCCCAGTACAAAATAACTTTTTACACCTGGATGATGCATTAACCCTGCATTCTCTTTCCCATTTAAAAAAAAAAACATTTTTAAGAACCCATTCCTACTCCATTTCTACGATAAACTATCCTCACCTGAATCTGTACAAAGGACAGTGGCATCGTAACAGGACGCATAGTCAGGGTCCCAGTTTACTTTACACTCCAGCAGTGACTTTTCGTTTCCGTTACAGCTCACATAATCCATCCAAACATGACCCTCTCCTTTTTCCGTCTTGCTTTTTCCAACCTTGCCATCAACAAATTTCATTTGTTTACAGAAGACGGCAGCATCACTGTCGCTCCAGCCCCGCCCACAGACACGCCCCCATTCACCATTGTATTTTACCTCCACTGAGCCACGGTTCTTCCCACCCTTGATACGGAAAGACACGCCCTCTGCAAGGTAAAGTAAATTATATCATTTTCACAAGAAACAGGGAAAACAATAATTGTGGGAGGTGGGCGACGCTAAATGGACCCCACACCACAGCATAAGTTCACTTGGCTCTTCAAAACAGGTGAATTAAAAAGTCTGCCTACTTAAATGTCCACCTAATAAATAAAGTTTATGAAACAAGTGAAAAGGTAATTTTATAAAATCTCTGCTGAGATCAGAAGAAAAGTTTGAGAAAAGTTTGATAATATGATATGATATGGAAGTGAATTCTAGATTCACTTTCTCACATTACTAAAAATATGAAACTTTTCATGAAAAAGATATCTTCTCTGGCCATCAAGTCTTCAAAATCCCCCCCCCCCCCCTTCATATCTATTGGCTTTTATGTACCACCACTTGAATATCACGCATAAGGTCTCATGACATCTAAATAAATAATAGTAATACATGACAAAAATGACATGGTGTATTCCCTGCAAAACACAACAGTTTAAGTGATAACAATTTTCCTTGCAAGGAGGATTGAGTACTGCATTTTAGGATATTTTGGATGTGGTTACATTTTGGTTTATTTGGCGCTTGGAGTAAATGGGCCAAAATTGAACCCACCAAAATTGAACCATGCCAAAAAATATTGCTACATCTGGATATTGGCAGACTGTCTTCCAATCATTTATAATGCTTCAATAGCTGTAAATTCCATGGGCTTATATATTTTCATGTAAGCGAAATTCGGCATTGTTTTTCTGGATGGAACAGATATATAACACTCTTCATAGATAACATGTCAAAAAAGTACGTTTTTATTTGGATATGTTCAAAACGCCAAAATTTGCACAAAATTTAACCATCCTATTTTGAGCAAAAAATGTCAAACATTGGAAACAAAAATATCCAAAAGTACGGTCACTGATTTAAACAATCGTAAATATCCCAAACAAAAGAAAATACCATACCATTATTACTATAACACAGAACTCCTGCAGTTTCTCTGTAGAATAGAATTTTAGACGAGCATCCTAAATCATCGCCAAGAAGTTTGTACTGGCAGTGGTCTAGTCTTTCCTCATTGCCTGTACAGTTGAAACGTCCCACAGCCACAGGGGTCTTCAGGATGGTGGTGCCGCGGTAAGACATGCCCCCAGAAAACCCTAGCTGATTACATGTGACGTTTGCATCCTTATCATCCCAGTCTTCACGGCAAATCGGCCCCCAGAAGCCATACAGGTTCGCTTCCAGCGACCCATAATATTTATCACCATCGATTCTAATCTGCATAGCTGAAATGCAATAAAACAGAGAGATCAATTATAAAGTTTGGATGCTACAGATTTTTTTTTTTTAATTTAAAGATTTTTTTTCAAACAGGGTTCATTAACTTGTGAACTCTTATCTATTATTTCGGGAAATTTCATTTTTTTATTATGAAACTAATATCACTTTTTTTTGTAGAATATTTTTAGGCGAGTCTTGAACAATAATTTTCAAAATTTTGTTGAGTCCCATATATGCATTAATATAGCAAAGAAATTTAGTGGGTTCCCAAAACATTGTAGAAAAATCTTTCGCACTATGGTCAGCAAGGCAACGAAAGTAAACTAATCCTTACCTGTAGCTGGGAGTATGGGCTTCGCTGAGCAGTACACAGACACGTAGTTCTTAGATCGACATTCGGTTACGTTGTAGTCACAGTCGTCCAGTTTGGACTCATGGCCCATACAACGGACATTACTGACCGTTATATTTGAGGCAGAGATTGGTCCCAGAGCAGAGCAGCACTGCTTGCGACCATATTTATATCCCAACTGTCGGCACACAATGGTGGCGGGCACGTCCGTGAATCCGTCATCACACACACTGCGGAAAGATTTATTGGCGTAGAGTTCTAGACGTCCATAGAAGACATCGTGAGAATCCACAAGTCGAACTGTAAATAATCCAACATCAAAATATATTATAATTGCATGTGGTATCATTATAGTTTTTGGGTTATCTTTCAAATATCAGTGATTGCTAAAGAAGTACTGGCAAGAATTTATAGGACAAAGCAAAATTTCCTCCTAGCATATGACCATTCCTGTAGTGAAACACTAGACATCTGCATCTGTCAGATGTTTGTAACATACCTGTATCGTAACACTGGATGCCTGCATCTGTGTGATGCGTTGTACAGCCAAACTGTCTGATGACTAGTGATCGACTGACCAGTGACCGGCGATAAAAATGCTCAGAGTTATCTCCCCGAGTGTAGCGGCTATTGAAGTTCATCGGACAGTGGAATATGGAGTCCTCATCCCCTTTACACCTCATGTGACCGATCCAAATTGGCCCCGATCCACTGCCATAGTGACCATAGTTCAGGGCACGGCCACTTGAGTGATTCAGCATGCGGCACAAGACTGAAGCGTCCTTGTCGTCCCAATAGGAAGCTCCGCAAATTGAACCCCATTCACCATTGATTGAAATCTCTACACGCCCAGACAGACTGTTGGAGCCATTCACCAGGCGAATAGGCACACCTGTTCATACAAAAATAATAACTATTGATGGCATATTTAATATCTACTGTCTGAAATCCTATATGGGATATTTAATAACTACTGTCTAAAATCCTATGGCATATTTAATATTTACTGTCTGAAATTCTATACGGCATATCTAATATCTACCGTCTTAAAACATATATGGCATATTTAATATCTACTGGTTGAAACCCTATACAGCATATAATATGCTGTATAGGGTTAAATTAACATGGACATGCATATTAAATATGATATTTAATATGCACGTCCATGATAATTTACCCTGTAATCTCAAAAACAAATTCTGTCTCTTGAAAGTTGTTACGTATTCTGCTACTTCAGTGAAATTTAGAAATCTACAGGTAAACACTTAATATTTAGACTCCAACTAATACATACTTTATTCATTGGTTGATTTTTGTTTTTTTAGCATATTGGAAAAAGTTTCTGACTGTTCACTGATATATAAATGTCCATGTAACAATTTAACTGATTTCATCCGAAATATACAGTTTTGAGTCTCATTCATCAATTCAATAACTACTAAATCAAGTTGTCACACTATCAGGATATTAGTTATAGGGAAAAGATTGGCAGTTACAAAAAATTGGAAAGAGTAACCCAACCATCTTGCAATCTCCACAGTTTTACTGGGAACAAGGTAGTTGTTTTACTGAGGCTCCATTGAATAAGATACCATTTTAATGTAAGGTGCCTGATAAATATCATACATTTATTTCATAGATAAGACCTGATGAAATGATTGATTGTAGTATCTATACCAGTTTAAAGAAGTTAATTGCGATCTGTATTGTAATGTAATATATATTGTCCTAATGAAGCATCACATTTAGAGGCAAAACTACTTGGCCAAATTAACTTACAAAACCACTTAAATGGTGATGCTTGAGTATGCTGTGGTCATGATCCTACTTTAAATGTAATATATTAGATACAGAAAACCTACACCAATATAACTACTAGCCGACTTACTTGAATCTGAAGTACAGTACACTGCAGCTTTGGTATTGAGAGAACAGTTGCGTACATCTCCCCAGCGGAGATTTCCACACCGGGCGAGATATCCCTCCGAGCTGGAACAGTTCAGATTGGAAAGCCAAGGCAGGCTCTTCCTGGGCCCCGAATTAAACTCATGTCTGTAGTAGGAGAAACCATCCCGATAGTTCATTTCACGACACAAAACCTTCGCATCACGGTCGTCAAATCCTTCTGGACATATCGTCCCCCAAACGTCAAGATGGCGGACCTCTACTGCGCCCATGACACCATCGGTCAGACGCAGGTCATATTCTGCAAAAAACATTTAATATATTCAGTCAAGAAAACACCCAACAAACATTGAATTAAGAATGTTTCAAAGGACTTGAAATTTGCAGTTTTATTGCAATTGATCCTCCTAATTTTGTCTATCTTTTTAAGATAAATTGATGTAGAATTACTAAAGTAAATACATATCAGAAATACAGAAATGAATTAACAGTTTTATTTAAACACTTATCTTTTTCCCTTGGAGTAATATCTTAAGAAAGAACGTTTCAGGAAACCAATAGCACACACCTTAGATTAAAGTGGGTAATGTATTAAATAAAGTATGGCCAAAAAGCCGAGTCTACCCAACTCTAAACCGTAAGTGACCAAACTCATTTTTTTTTTCTTATTTTTTTTTTTTTTAATTAGAATGCATTTTTGCTTAAAGGGAAAATTCTGCTGTCATGGAAGGGAAGTCACATTGGCAAAAATTTAAATAATATTTTTTCTTTATAGCATAATGTTATAATATATCATAGTGAAGCATTGTACATGTATATAGCAGTACTGGTCACCTTCACAAACTTTCCTTAATACAGTGTATAAGTATGTTCTTTATAAAGGAAAGCATATTGTTGATGATACGGACAATTCTAAAGTAGTGTTCATTTTAATAACTTCATTGATGCTTTCCAAAAGCTATTTAACTCATTCACCCCTGAAATTTCATAATGGACTATTCCAACCTTTGCATTGGAAGAGTTTAAATGAGTTTAAATGTGTCTTCAGGGGTGAATGAGTTAAGGAAGGTTTGTTAAACTGAGACCAGAACCGATTTGTTACCTCCACTAGATGCAGTATTGGAGCAGGCAACAGAGGCATACTTCCCGCTCGGACATACGTCCATTCGGTAATCGTGTTTACACGATAGGATGGACCTCTCTTCTCCAACACATTTGACGTTGTTGATGGCGATCTTGTATTTGCTCATGTTTCCAAACACTGAGCAGCAGATACTGATGCCGTTCCGATATCCGAGCATTCGACAGGCAACTTGGGCGTCAACATCGTCAAAATCGTCGGCGCACACCAACACATACTCGTTATCCTGCCAAACCTCTACGGCACCGAAGGTGATGTTTGGTTCTAGTCGTACTGCAGAACAGACAGATATTGTGAAAGTCAAGACAATAACATGGCAATTTTTTTTTTCGAAAATAAATATTATAACTTAAAATCATGCAGTGATCATTTGTTATGTAAAACTCACATGTCTTCTGCAGTTTGAATGGTAAAGTTTTTACACCAAAAACATTTTGTTTAAATGTATCAGAAATTTGCAACTCAGATGCCTAAAAGTTTTATTATCAAAAACATTTTGTTTTAATTTACCAGAAATGGACAACTTGGTTACCTTTTCCTGTACAGTAGACGCTGGCGTCATATCTGTGTGTGCGGCATGATGTGTGTGTGACGTTCCATCCCGTACTTCCACAACCCCAGACGGCCTTCTCATCTCCAGTACAGTGCACATAGTACAGCCAGGATCGCCCAGTTCCAGGAGGAAATGTTCCGGCTGACATAGCCACACCGTCCACAAAGCCAAGTTGGCGACACACTACCTTGGCGTTGTCGTTATTCCAAAATGAGTCGCAAATCGTACCCCATTCTCCATTGTAGGCCATCTCCACGCGACCACTGTACTGGTTGTCTGAGCCTCCTAGACGTATCTGAAACCCTTAAAATAGAGAACAAGATTGAGTCATATCACTTGTGTGCAAGTATTGAAGGTAACTTTTGCAACATCTTTTAATAAAAGCAGAGAGGAATAAATACAGATTTCGTGAAACATCTGTTTATCCCAGTCCATGTTTAATTGATCTTTTCAATTATGTCTAGAGCCATATGATTTATTCAATCCTAGCAATGATAACTAAAAATGAGGTGGTCGGGTGAAGCAGTGGATCACACACTCGCCTTTCCCGATTGGATGTAAAAAGGTATGGGGTTGCCTGCACGACCATGTGGGTTTTCTGCAGGCACTCTGGATTCCACATTAAGACCCCCCTCGCGCTAACATCCCGGCCAACAAGAGTGATTAATATCAGTTAAAATAACATGTTTCATAATTGTTGTAAAAATTAAAAGATTTTCAGAAGACAGGTAACCTCAATGAAATCATTTAGAACCATTTTTCTTTAAAAGACTCAACCAGAACTGAGATTGATAGAATCTTCCCCTACCTTGAGGGTGTGACAGAGAAATCTCCAGCCCGAGGCTCTGCCGAGGGTTAGACAACCAAAAAAATCACCCTGCAGGTTGGAGATTTCTCTGTTACACCCTCAAGGTAAGGGATGATTATTTTTCTCCCATCCTATTATTTCAGTCACAGCTCCGCCGACAGTAGTCTGCCATGTTTGTAAACAAAAATACATGTGGGGTATGCATATAGTCATTCAATTTTGATGACATCACAATTACTGATGACGCATTTTAATGACGTCACACTTGAACACGTGCTAATCGGCACAAGGCTATCTCCCCCTAAGGGGGTGACAGGCTAAAACGGGAGACACACATGTGAAGGGTGGGAGAATTCATTATCATATCTCAATTGAGAGGGTTGAACTTACCAGAACTCCTGTAGCAAAATACTCGAGCTGCCAGACGATTAGATCGGCATGAAGTTTGAGCAGCAGTCTCGTTGTATGGGCATTGATTAATGTTGGTTTCATTGCCGAGACAGTTGACATTGGACATCCAGATTGGAGTACGAGAGCTGTAGTACCTTGAACCAAACATGGCTCCACCCTGATATCCCATCTGTCGACAAACCACCATCGCATCCTTTTCCGTCCAGCCGTCAGCACAGATGGTTCCATTGATGCCATGCTTTTCTACTAAAACTGTGGCGGGGAAGTCCCCAGCAGGGATAACCTTAACCTCTGTTGAAAAGAAATATAGAGAGAGCTTATATATAAAACATTTCTATTATTTTTTGTATTAACTCGTGAAAATTTATTCATGTATTTTTCATATACATGTTACAGGAAAGAAAAAATGTAGTTTTCAGACAGGGAATTGAACCCTTCGGGCCCTTTATTAAATAATAAAGATACTTACCGTTATTTTCAACAGGATTTTTTGAACAAAGGACGCTGGCGTAGTTGTAGGACCTTTTTGGACATGTGCCCTCCGTGAACTGACACTTGGAAATGGTCTGTTCTTCGCCTGTACAGTTGAGCTGGAGGATCGAGTCAAGATAGTACTTGGATCCAAAGGCGCCAGGCATCAGCGGTTTACTGTAGGGGAAGCCAAGCTCTTGACACACAACACTGGCATCACTCTGGTCGAATTGGTCAGCACACACGGTGACCCATTTACCGTTGTTGTACATCTCCACCCGTCCAGTGGTAGCGTGGTCCTGACTCTCACCATTGCTGATCCTCACTGAAAACAATTCCATTTATACTTTTATACAATATAGCTATAATAGACTTCGCACGACGCAAACCCTATCAATTCTTGCACATCTTACTGATTTATTGAGTTTATCAACTTTCAGGGGGTGTACAATTCTACAATAATAATATACAACATTTGATATAGCTCCCTATCTAGCTAACATAAGCCACTCTTTAGCGCTTTACAGTACAAAGATATACAATTAATACAATTAGCATAAACATTAATCAATACAATTTTGAGGAATTCGCAGGAGTTGCCTTAATTATCAGGCGCTAACTGCTAGTCCTATGCCACCTGGCTAATATCTCCCTATGTGTGTTTGGCTGCATGTGTGCTGAAGATTTAATGTGTTCTGTTTGTAGTGGGACCGTGCTTCCAACGTGTGGGCAGGAGAAAAACACTTTCTCTGAATATCCATGCATAAGACGTACATCTTAGAGGATTGAACCCCGGCCGTCTGCATGGAAGGCCAGGGTGTTAACCACTCGACCAATCCGCTAATATAAGCCAGATGCTACAGATCAGTAGTAAATTCTATGTCAGAGCTTAAATGAAACTTTTCAATATTTCCTATGAAAATACAGACTTGAGTATGTAATAGAGTTTTTCACAATTTGCATGTGGACTAGTACTCTAAATACAACATTGTACACCCTTGATATTAATATGATATTACGAATGTAAGAATGAGATACTCCACACCTCTTTTATTACTAATATTAAGTGCACTCATAATGTTCCCACATCATTGTTAATTTTCAAGTTACAGATGTCATGATTAAGCACTACTGCTATCAGTTAACAGTCAGGGATACAGTGGTTTTATATTTAGCACTTATGATTTAGCACATTACAGCAAGTAAGAATTTACGTATGACTACTGCTAATTACGTTTACAGTACACCGTATTTATATTGAGGAATGGTCCAGAATTAAACTAATGTGTTCAATGATCTTTTTACCTTAGTTATCATTTCAGCATTGTTATTGTTTTTTTTTCTGTAAATCCCAATGACTGGACTGATATATTTGTTTAATTACAAAGCAAAAATGAAAAGTACCTGGTAATGGCCAACTATTGATTTAATATGCATCTTAAAAATTAATTTAGAATAACAATGTGACATCAGAACAAGTTGTAGGTTATAATATTAAAGATTATAAATGTACAGAAAGTAAGTGATCTTGAAACAAGCCCATATATTTACCGTTGTTGTAACAGAAAACACCAGCATTGTGGTTTGGATTATTACAACGTGATTCAATTCCTCGCTTCCAGCCTGGGTTCTTACACATGAAGATACTCTTCTCAGCACCAAAACAGTTCATGGATGTCAGAAACTTTGGCATTGGGGGTCCAGCTAAACCTCTGAATGAAATAAATAAATCATTAAAAAAATGACATATATTACAAAATGATTTACCCAGTAATTCAATTTGTTGTGCTCTTTGAAGTAATTTGGATTCAAGGATTTTGACAGTGTTCTATATTTTTTCTAGACTTATAACAATCCAGGCCACTTGGCTAATAAATCACAGCATCCAGACTAACAAAGTTTTACTGTACACAGAAAGGGAAGTGTCTAGACTGACAAGGTTACAATGTTGACAGTTTTAATTAAAACCTAGAGACTAATCAGGATTCTCTGTGCGCACAAACATGTCCAGATTAACACAAACATGTCCAGATTACATGTCCAGATTAACACCAACATGTCCAGATTAACACAAACATGTCCAGATTAACTCCAGATTAACACAAACATGTCCAGATTAACACAAACATGTCCAGATTAACACCAACATGTCCAGATTAACACCAACATGTCCAGATTACACCAACATGTCCAGATTAACACCAACATGTCCAGATTAACACAAACATGTCCAGATTAACAAAGTTACAAAGTACCGTAATGTATATAGCGGTTATAGTTCGCGGGGGTTTTAATTTCGCTATATCCGTGCTTTGACTAATATATTCCACGAATTCTAAACACCAGCAAAATGATCGAAAATGTTATTAAACCACTTTTACAGACCTTATCACAGCATGTTGAAAATAATTATAACCCAACGCTGTCATGCAAGCTTAAACTCAAACCAGATAATTACAGGACAACTGGGCAGTCCATGTAAAAACAACACTTACATATAAGTGGACGCAACATATTTTTATGTACACAGTAGGTGATTAATTGATTACTCCTACAAAGGTACATACACATTTCATTTTCTTTCGAGTGAAGTCACTAACGGATGGCGACGCTCTGGATCAGTGTTTTCAAAAGGTTTACCGGTATTTCGAGGTTCAACTCTTAAATCATGACACTCAAAATACTTTGCACGACACATGGGATTTGGGTGCACAGCAAAATTTAACCCTCGAGAATATGTTCCCAACATACATATAATGGACCCAACAAATTTAAAGCGATATACACAAGCCATGGTGTTCAGACTAACAAGGCTTCAATCGAAGCATGAAGTGTACCTTCTGTACTCGCCGTCCCTGAAGCCTAGTTGTTTGCAGGCCACCGTCGCATCATATCTTGACCAACCGATGTCACAAATGGATCCACGCTGATCGTCCATCACAATCTCTAACCGACCGAAGTTGTCTAGGCCACCAACCAAGTGCAACTTAGGAGCTGTAATACGGAACATAGACTTTACTTCAAGCAAAATAAGAAGTATCTTGGTAACTCATTGTTGATTATATATCAAAGTTGATTCTCATTGTACCTTAAACATTCATCATGATCAGCAATAGGTAGATCCATCAACTGTCAGACTCATTGACATAAGTTATGTGGCAAAACTACGCGGTACAACAAGGCATTGCAGACAATATTTATACCCTAGCTATTAGGACTGATCAGAAATGCTAACAGAGCATGTATATAAAGTTTGACGACAATCATATAGGAAATGATATGTCTGTATGGAGCAGTGAGGACAAAATTATATTTATAGTAAAATTAACTTTTTTTTCACCAGAAGGTCAAAATGAAAACTGATACAAGAGTTGATGTTTGAGAACATGTATGTGATATTTCATCACAATCAGATTTGAAATAAAATCTGTAGAGCCATTCCACAAAAAATCTATTTGTAGTAAGGTGACCTTGTTTTAACCCAAACAGATTGATGCACAGACTGATGTTTTTGTGTTTCACCTGTACAACTTACCTGTTGTTTTTGTGTTCACCTATACAACTTACCTGTATTTTTGTGCTACATCTGTACAAATTACCTGATGTTTTTGTGTTTCACCTGTACAACTTACCTGTATTTTTGTAACACAGCACACCTGCCGCTCCGGAGTACTGAGAGTCACATTCATCTCCTCCCACAGAACAGTTAAACAAAGATGACTCATTGCCGAGACAGTTTACTTGTCCCATGAAGAAGGGTCCGCTCCCTGATGGCGTCTCCTGGAAGGCCACTCCACCTGAAATTGTATTACCATTGGTAAAATAACCATCATATTAGTGTAACAGAGGTCATTATTTTTTCAATGCCTCTGCTAGGAGTCGAACCCGGGACCACTGGTTTACTAGTCTTACGCTCTACGGAATGAGCTTAAGAGAAATTCTCCCTAGCTGAGTCGGTAGGAAGCAGCTAATATTTTACCAGGGTGACATACTCCCTCTCCAGGAAAGAACTTGTCCCAAGTTTTCCAGGGGTCATAGTGATTCCTTTGCAAGTATCGCCGAGTATTTTTGATATCTCCAGAGTCCCTACGTGGGCGCCAAAGTAACAGGTCATTATTTTGCATATAATTAACATTGGAATAAAAAGCATCTTTTCCAAAGTCCGTGCCAGAATGAATGTAAGTTGGTAAAATACATATTTACTGTGAATCCTGCTTGGGAATTGTAGAAGCGGAAATATAAATATATACAGATAATGCTTCTAATAAATTTCAAATTGTTTTACCCAACCTGCCATCATAAAAACACTTTTTTTGAATATATATGAAAGAAAACAGGTAGCTAAGCCTGTCAACATACCTCTGAACTTGAGCGAACGACAGACAACGTCAGCATCCTTGTCGTCCCATGAGCTGGGACAGATACGCCCCCAGATGCCGAATTGTTTGATACCCACACGGCCCGATTGCGATGGAGAGATTCCAGAACTGTTCTCTAGACGCATTTCACTGGCTGTAACAGATCACACAGGCCAGTAATAATAAAGAGGAAATCTTTCTACCATCTGTCATACAAAAAGACAATCTGATTAAAATCATCTATTACATGGCTCCGTCTGAACATCGTTCAGAAGTATAGTACGATGTTAACAGAGCCATGTCACAGATGATTTTAATCAAACAGATTCTCTAGTTTTAATCTACTGTAGATCTCCTATTTCGATGAAATACATGTAAAAGCAATGGTTTCTTTTACACAGAGCGTTGAACTCAATTTAAAATACGATTTGAATAAATATCAACAAGAACTTTGTATCTGCTTTTCATTAATTCATTAATTCAAATACTTGCAAATAAATTATATAATTTTACTTTTATTTTATAAATTAATTCACATTAACTAGAAAAGACACAGCTGATGAATGTCTTTTTTATATTTCCTTCATGTCTATTCATCACCTCTTCCAATATCTGTAACATCAACGATAAAAGCTCAAAAACATAGACAAAACATGAGGACAACGATTTATACGCATATATTCATCTTCAAGATCCAAGGCCTCCGCTTTAAATACACATATCTTCTCTGCACCCCTGGAAAATGTCATGACAAATTTGAAGGCTCATGGTAAGCTATTTGATTGATTTTAAGTAAAACAACCTTGACCAATCACTTGGCTGAAACCTGTCCTTAAAGACAACACAGGACTCCTACACCCAACTTTAAAAAGCCCGATGATTTTACCATTACCGATTTTACTGTAATGTTGCCGTGCAATTCCTATAACCTTCATCGAAGACATTAGACCAGTATACTTTTATCATCTGCAAAATGTTGCATAAATAACCTTCAATTTCCTTATGGCACATTCCATGGGTGCAGAGAATGAAAGCGCATTGAAAGCTAAATCCTTGGATTTTGAAGATGGCATATATTTGAAATGATGTGACTGAGCAACTTTTGACACTTACATATACTGAGAGATCCGTTATAACAGGAAACAGCAGCGTAGCCTAAGTAGTTATCTCTCTGACATCCTCGGAACCTGTCGTACCCGCAATCTTCTATCTTGGTCTCATTTCCTGTGCAGTTCAGGTTCGGCCAGGTGTAGCGGCCGTAAAATGTACCAAACGATCCTGGTGGAAGGGCCCGTCCATTGGTAAAGCCTAATTGCGTACAGATGACCATTGCGTCCTTGGTGTCGAATCCCTCTCCACACAAGACTGACCAGAACTGGTCCATTACTTTGACCACTCCGTATGAATGGTCCCCTCGTGACAGCCTCACTATAGGAATAAATATACCTTACATTGTATCACACATAAATATTTAAACAAGCCACTCAGATTGATATTTCTCTTACCCTAGACAGGTGTATCCATACTTTTACTGGTGTGACATTTCCTTGTCCCAACCTAGGGTTGAGATGGGGGGATTCCCCTATTCATAACAATGGTATGACGTCACTTCAACAATACAATGACGTCACATCAACAATCCATCAATGTTACATCAACCCTGAATTTAGCATGTAACGATATCATTACATTGTGTATATGATACACAGTGGGAGAACAGGGTAAGAGAAAAAGAATCATTCACCACCTTGTGAGTGAGATAGGAGAATCTGAACCCTCGGGGAAAGATTCTTAAGTTGCCAAACACTCGGCAAATCCACATGTTTGACAACTTAAGATTCTCTCTCCTCCCC